CTCGTGAGCGGTGGGGCTGCTATGATGCAGTTTACTTGGCATCTGAAAATACATTTCCTCAAAGGTATTTTTAATCTGAAAAGATCTTCACTGAGTGAAAACTAATGTTGAGAGCTCAGAGGACAGTTTGAGTTTCACTTTCACTTTCACCTGAGAGCCTGCAGGAGTCATGGGCGAGGTGTGTGGGGAGGGGGACGGGGGGTGCGCTCTACCATGAGGAAGCTCGGCTTAAAGACACGTCCCAGGGGCGTTTCTGGTCCCCACCTGTTGTTTTGCTCCTCAGCAKGGCTTCCTAAAAACACTGCAGGATTTCTCAAACATGCATGGATGAGTCAGAGCAAGGCTTTGGACATGTTTTTATGAGACATTAAAACTCAAAAAAGTTGATTTTACAAGCTACACATTCAGGCTTTTCAGCTTAAAAATACATTATAGGTAACATGATGGGTTTTATGCCACTGCTTTTCAATCAGTTTCCACTCCACCGTCTCCTGTCTGTGCATCTGGCTGACCAAGCTGTCTGCACCAACACTGGGGCATTGTCATCCTTCATCAGCCTTGCAGCTCTTCCTCCAGAGCCGAGCGGCCGGCATCGATTGTCAGTCACCTCTGTCTCTGCCGTCACAGGACTCACACACCAGCGGCGACTTTAATGAGGTCCCTCTCACAGCGCCGGCCTGACCAGCAGCACCTCATGATGTGTTGGAGCCATTTCTACCACCTCTGCTTTTCTTTTCATCCTTTCCATAGTCCTCCCCTCGGATTGGTTCTGAGTTTCCCCCCACTCCCCTCCCCCCACACACACACACTGGTCCCCATCCTGGACTCCCTTGACATGTTGGCTGCAGTYCATTGAAGCTGCCACCTCCTCCTCTCATCACCCCCTGATGTTGCGTCTTTGGGAAATGATGATGTATGACTTCACACGCCATCTACCCCAGACCCCTGGCATTTCTGGAAAAACTAACATTTTATTTTTCTTTACAGGCCTCTGGAGAATTCCTATTGCCCAAGTAATGTTTTGTTAGCGTTGCTGTTATTGTTTTATCTCTAAAAATATACTCTGGTCTTTTTCACAATGTCATCTTTTAATCAGCTTTGTTGTTGTTGTTGTTGTTGTTTTTTTTGTTCTAAATTCCATTATCTCTGTGTGTTGTTGTTTTTCTCTCTCCCTGCAGCTCCCTGTACAGCCAGTACATTTTTCTGCCACAGCAACATGTGTATTAACAACACGCTGGTGTGCAACGGCATTCAGAACTGCGTCTATCCATGGGACGAAAACCACTGCAAAGGTGACCATTTCCACTCCTCTTTGTTATTTCCTACTGGTGATGTTAATTGACTGGTTTTTTTCTAGCTGCTTTTGCATTTTTCATTTTTATTCTGCTTGGCTTTGTTATCGTCTTCCCCTTTCTCCTTCAGAGAAGCGTGCTAAGGGTCTTTTCCATCAGATCACTAAGACACACGGGACCGTTATTGGTGTGTCTTCGGGCATAGTTCTCGTTCTTCTTATAATCTCTATTCTTGTCCAGATGAAGCAGCCAAGGAAAAAGGTAAGTCTGACTTTAGTTTGACGTTCAAGATGGAGATAAGTTGTTCAGGAGGCAGACAGTATGAAACTGCATTGCAGTGTTGTTCTGTAGACTGGGAGGATAAAAGGTTCAGTCATTTATCAACCAAAACATCAGAGTGGTTTCAATTTATTTTCCTATTTTACAACTTTAATTACCAGTTTTGGATTGATCTATTTTGTTTGGATTTTGTGGATAGGTGGAGGCTGTTAGTGACTCCTAACACAAAGTGCACAAACTGGTAACACTGGAAAACAGCACTTGATATTTGCTGTTGTGTTCAGGTGTATTAATTGTGTTGATTATTCATGCAATAAATACAAAAAATGTGCTTTGTGGGCATGAAGTAAACGGATATTTTTCAACAAATAACAGTTTTAACCTTTGACCTGAGTACAACTTGATGAGCCTTTGATAAAGATTTTAAAAAATAATCAGTTTGTTTGATCATCAAATTTCATGCCTTGGTCTTGACCGGCTACTAAACTGCACGTACTCTWATCCTCTTTTGAAGGTTGTGGCTCGGCGGCCTGGCGTCTTCAACAAAGCTGGATTCCAGGAGGTCTTCGACCCACCCCACTACGAGCTCTTCTCCCTCCGCGACAAGGAGATGTCCTCAGACCTGGCTGACCTCTCCGAGGAGCTGGACAGCTTCCATAAGATGCGGCGCTCCTCCACCATGTCCCGCTGTGTCCACGAGCACCACTGCGGCTCACAAGGCTCTGTGGCAACAGGCAGCGGCAGCGTGAAGCACAGCCGGACCACCCTGAGCTCCATGGAGCTGTCCTACCACAATGACTTCTCCAAGCCCCCTCCCATGAAGACGTTCAACTCGACCTCCACCTACAAGAAGAGCTGCTACGGCTACAAGCAGCACGCACAGACTCACGACTGCGACCAGCAGGTCATCGAGGACCGCGTCACCGAGGAGATCCCGTGTGAGATTTACGGGCGTGGCGCGACGGGACTGGGAGGCGGAGCCACAGGCGCAGGGGCGATGGGAGGAGGGGGTGCGTCCGGGATCGCCGGCGGAGGGATCGGAGGAGCCGTGGGGATCACCGGAGGCGTGGCCATGTCTGGTGGGATGGGCATAGCGGGAGGCATTAGTATGGCAGGACCCAGTGGCATCGCTGGAGGCATTGGTGGTGGGATGGCAGGAGCCTGTGGGACCCTCAGTATTCGTGGCAACAGCGCTCGCAACAGTACCACCCTAGTTGACCCCCAACAGCGCTCCATATCCATGGACTTCTAGATGGAGAAAGGGGAACGAAATGCAGGCAGACCTCGAAACAAAGAAAACTGATCACCCCTGCTTCCTTTCATTCGGTCGTCACGCAACATTTACAGATTTTTTTGTTAGTTTAACACTCCCTTATAGTCTGACGGAGGCTAAATGGGAGAAACTGAGGAAATATAAGAACAACAAAACTGAGGAAACTACAGATCATTCTCTATGTGATTTAAAGTGAAGACGGTGCGCTGTCCCGTCATTAGAGACAACCAGAACATGTTCTCGCATGTACACCCAAACTGATCTGTTTGGTTCCTTCAACAACTCAGAAAAGCTGTAACAGACTGAGATTTGACATTTATTTACCTGCCATGCACAAATATACAATCTATAGTGCATATTCTAATAAATTATTTAAGTCTTTTTTTTGTCAGTGTACTGTACTATTACAACCAGTGTCTATCCAGCCTCATGGTGATGCTTGGCTTCTAACTCTTTGATTTCAATTGTTGCTTATGAAGGTAGATTATCAGTGACATGTTGTGTTGAGGACGATGAGAAAGTTACTCTTGTCAAAAATGATAATAAAATATGATGATTATGACAATGTTATATTATAATATCACCCTGTRGTTTTCATGGTTACCTCACACAAACAGGGGATATGCTTCACTCTCTCCTCAGGATGAGCACATGAAGAGACTCTTATTTTGGTAAATAAATTTAAAAAAAAATACAGGGAAAAAAAATCTATTTCTGCTGTGAGTTTTGTGGCGTCCAGAGACTCAGGTCATGAGAATGGAAAATAAAGTGTATGTTTTTGAAGCCTAAAATGAATCAAAAGCAATCATTTTGACCCCACCCTGCTTATGAAATGAAAAAAAGAAACATTTTGATTTGATTATTTCCCCTTTGACCTGAGTGTGTAATACAAGCACAACCTGTTCCCCTGAGTGACACATGTAGCCTGTATTAGACTCATTTCTGATTTTTAACCACTGGTTGTATAATTTCATTCTGTTGAATTAAACAAGAGTTTACTCACATCTTTGAGGTTGTTTTTTTTATTATTATTTTTAATAAGAAAACAACGTGAGACACACACTGGAGCTGTCTGATCAAGGTAAGATACAAAGTGTGACACACAGAGCAGCCTACACAAGGCACTTCCCTGTGCGAGCTGCAGATATTAACATGCAGCGGTGCTTCAGGGATCATTTATGCACTGAGTTGTGTGACGCTGCTTGAACGCACAGGATTCAAGGCTGACAAATTTCCAGTTCCACTTATGAACAAAATAAATTAAGATGGCTCAGATTCTCCTGCCTGTCGCACATTTGAATGAATCCGTGAAGCATTTTCTTTCATACATGCCCCCCCCCCAACACACACACGCACACACACACATGCACCCTCCTGTGCTGTCACTATAAATTTGTCCTAACTGAAGCCTGAGGCATCTTTATAAAACATGTGACCTTCAAATATGGTCTTGTGTTTGACTCTGGTGATGWGAGGTCTCTTATGATTTAACATCTATTATAAAAAAATCCTTTTTTGATTTGATCATAAGTATTAGTTACTAGTACATTATTTAAAAAGACAGAAAAATCAGTGAGAGCATTACAAATACATTCATTGCAGGTTTTATTTGATAGTTTTTCACTGTAACAGCTGAGCTATTGTTAGTTTGTTCGGTTTATACACTTATTTTTAGTTTAATGTATGTTTTTGTTCATATTCAAAATATTTTTTTATGTTTTTATCTCTCATATATATTGGGCAGAATCATATAATTTTTGCTGTAATATGACAGTGCCCCCAGTAGGCAGACTGAGACTCTTTTTGTTAGAATAAAATTACATAAGCTTAAAAATGATCAGTTCTAAAACAGTTTTAATGAAAATAATCTTCACTTTAAAGACGTTAAAGACATCCTGAAATTTGTAATTTTTTTATTCCTTTGAAGGTTATTTGTAGTATTTTTAACAGCTTTTTTTAAAAACTTGTACATAGAAACATATTTAATTTAATGTCTGTTAGATAAATGGACTGATAGAGTGCTGATGTTTTTTTTTATTAATAATAAATAGCCTCAACATATTTTACTCTAAGATCATTGACGATGTCTTTCCATCTTTACGTTGTTCTCAAACACCTGAATCAAACCTCTGCTTTTATAGAGCAGAGGTTCTCAAACTGGTGTCCCAGGACCCGCAGGTGTCCGCAACCTGTATCTTGGGGGTCCTCAAAGAATTTCAATATTGTTAGTTTGGTTTTTATTTTAAAATTATGCACATGGGGGAAAAACCAAACCCACTAAACCAAACACAAAATACTATTCCCATGGAATTCAGGGGTAAAATGACAGTAAATTATTTTTAAAACAGCACGGGGTTTATGAGGGGGTCCCTGGAAATTTTTCACCATTATTTTTAAAACAGCACGGGGTTTATGAGGGGGTCCCTGGAAATTTTTCACCCTTGAAAGGGGTCTCCAGACCCAAAAGGTTTGAGAACCCCTGCTATAGAGGTATTCACTGATGATTGATTAATCATGTATTATAAGTTGTAGTTTTACACGCTCCTCCTCTGTTTTTGACTTTTTAAAATAAGCAAATATCACAGCAGTGTAATCTGTCAGGTTCTGTTAGTTGCTTGAGGTTTTATTTGCCTCGTGTTAGAATTTATTTCATTATGTCCTGATATTTAAAAACTTACAACTGAAACAGTGTTTTACACATAAAAAATTGTTTTGTAGACCTCGAGTATGTAATAAAGTTTGATGACTATATATTTTTATATAAACATATACGGTAATATACAATACAAATTGTAAATAAAGATATGGGTTACCCTCAATTTGGTATCAAAAGATTTATCATTAAAATCAAAATCTTTTACCAATTATTTTGACATTTAAACATCACTAAGACAGAAAACAGCCAGAAACTCACACAATTTATCATTTACTAAAAAATGTACAAATTTCACTTTGAGTGCTTGAATAAAATTTGGTTTCATGAGATTAGCATGTGAATGCATTTGGATGGAAGCCCATTTCCGCCACCCTGATAAAAAAAATAAATGCAACTTGCATCTCATAATTATGACTTAGCTATCTCATAATTATGAGATACTATCTCATAATTATGACTTAGCTATCTCTAATTATGAGATAGTATCTCATAATTAGAGATAGCTAAGTCATAATTATGAGATACAAGTTGCATTTTTTTATCAGGGTGGCGGAAATGGGCGTCCATACATTTGTGTTTGTTTAAATTTTACAAATCTTCTCAACTTTGTCCTTTAAGTGGCATCGTGGGAACAGAATAACAACATAAAATTCAAGAAACCTGCCCGCTTCATTTCAGTGAAAAAAAACTGATTTGCTTCATTTCACAATTCACTTATCAGCCGCCAGGTGGCAGCAGCGTTCCCACACATCCCGTGAAGTTTCCGGAAGCTGAAACCCGAGCACAGCATCTTCCACTGGCTTCTTCCACCCGGCTCCTTCTCTCTTTGTCCCGTCCTCCTCCGCTCCGTGTCGAAGAAACATCCACCACAACAGCATCATGTCCAATGTAGCCGATACAAGACTTTACGACATTCTGGGAGTGTCTCCGTCCGCGACCGAGAGTGAACTAAAGAAGGTAATTACACGGAAACAGCCGGACAGACGGTGGCTTTCGGAAGAGTTTGAAAAAACCACAACCAGGAAATGCGTTGCTAAGCTCATTTAGCAAATGCTAGCCGTAAAGTATGCTAACTTGTTAGCAAGTTAAATGGCCTGGTTATTCGTGATGTAACGCGACTGTGACGATTTATCCGTGGCGGTATTTTTTAAAGCCAAGCGACCAGTCGCTGTAAAAGGTTTAATTTTCTGTATAACTTAATAGTTGCCAAGTATGAAGTCGATATTTGTAACCCATACCGTGGCGCAGAGCTAAACATTGACCTCACGTTAGCTTAGCTCCTGTCAGTGTGTCTGTCGCGTTTTGAGTTTATATCCCAGTGTTGTTTAAGCACCACATTAATTTGTTGTTCCTCTATAATCCGGACGTCGAGAGACACTGACTGAGCTGACATGCGGCCTGAAGCTTTAAACCTGTAAATAAATGACGAAACATGACTTGAGCTTCTAGGACCGCTTAGCTAATCAGTAGCAGACAGGGATGGCAACTATAATTTACGCCGATCAAAARTATACCAGTCACCGACGTTTGAGTCTTTTTTGTGTATTATTTATTATAAAATTGTGTCTTGAATGTATACAGTCCCAGTAGCATGCCAAGTCCATTTTCCGTGTTAAACACGTTTTCAAGCTAATTAGCCTGGTTGTGACGAAGGCTGTTTCCGGTGCCTAAATATTCACACGAGTCTTAATTTATTGTTCAATTATAAGTCATCTGTGTTAGATATTGTGTTCAAAACTGTTTTCCTTTCTAAAATTAGCTGTTATTATGTGTTTTTAAGGTGTTAGCAAGCGATGCTAGTTAGCCAAGCCTTGTTAGCCCAAATGTTAGCAAATTTGTCAGACATTTTGAGCTGTTCGTTTTTGACTAAAACGGCAAGTTAGTGTGTTATAATCTGAAAACAGATCATTATCGATTCTGTTAGAAAACTTTCCGGCATGTAGCTGGTGAAGAATTAGTCAAAGTTGTTGTGTGAAGCTTTTTTTATTTTATTTTTGACCGCCACAGGTGGTGTTTTATCGTCAGGTTTGCACATGTGATAAGCAGCAGCATCCTGTTTAATGTAGATGAGTCATCAGAAGATAATCTGTACTGACTAATAGGGAATACAACTTGTTTTTGTCCTTGTTCTTATAGGCATATCGTAAATTGGCAAAAGAATACCACCCTGACAARAACCCAAATGCTGGTGACAAGGTAATGACATTTTCCTATAATTTATGTAAAACTAGTAATAATAGCTTTACTTTGCAAAGTAACCAGGGTTGACAATGTGATCATATGTTTATAATAATTAAGAAAAGATATGATGCTTCATAGAGATATTAGAGTGGACATGGGTCAAATAGAAAATGAATTGGCGTGTGAGCCAAAATCATATTGTGTGCAATTATCAGAAAAAAAAACTGTTAAATTTATATTTACCACTTTCTAATTGGTGCCATTATTACTTTAAATGAGATTCATATTAAGAAGCAGTGTTATATAAAGTACAACAAAGTAATACTTGAGTAAAAGTACAAGTATCTTACCAACAAATTTCTTTGGTAAAAGTTAGAATCTCCTTTACGAATATTACTTGAGTAAAAGTCTTAAAGTATCTGATATTTTTTTGTACTTAAGTATTAAAAGTAAAAGTATTGATTTAAAATGAACAGTTTAGATTTTCCATAATGACATTTTACAATAACAAGCTGGAATAAAAACAAGCAAAAATGAAATAAAAGTAACAACTTTCTACTTCTTGCCTTTTTTTAATGTAAGGAGTAGAAAGTACAGATAACTGTGTGAAAATGTAAGAAGTAGAAGTAAAAAGTAGGTTGAAAAATAATTACTCAAGTAAAGTACAGATACCCAAAAATTCTACTTAAGTAACTGAAAGTATTATGTTTGGACCCAGTGGTAATCACAGTGCTTCTCCTAAGGATCTGAGTGTCTTGGAACCATCTGTTAAATCGYACGTCAGTAACTTGGGTCTGATCTTTGACTCAAACTTCAACTTTGAGAAACAGATTAGTTCTGTAGTAAAAAGATCATTTTTTTAAACTGAGACTTTTATCTAAAATCCAATTGTTTTTATCTTTTAAAGACCTTGAATGTGYGATTTTATTACATCTCAGCTGGATTATTGTAACTCTCTGTGTGCTGGAGTTAGCTAACGCTGCAGCACGCCTTTTAACACGGACAAAGATGCGTGATCATATCTACCCGGTGCTGGCTTCCCTTCATTGGCTCCTTGTTCATTTTAGAATTGATTTTAAACTTTTACTGATGACCTATAAGGCTCTGAATGGACTGGCTCCTGAATACATGTCTGACCTCCAGATCTCTTAGATCCAGTGATCATTTGCTCTTGGCTGTCCCGCGGTCCAGACTGGTCCACAGAGGTGACCGAGCCTTTTAAGTTCTGGCTCCTAAACTGTGGAACCAGCCGCCCCTTCATGTCAGACGGGCCTCAGCTCTTGGAGATTTTAAATCTCTTCTTAAAACACAACTGTTTTCAAAAGCTTTTAAAGTAATATGAGTTGTTTTCCCCATTTATTTGGTCTGTTTTAATGGTTTTATCATTACTTGTGTTCTATCAGCAATGCTTTGTTTTTAGCTGCAATATGTGAAGCACTTTGGCCAACGGCAGTAGTTTTTAAATGTGCTATATAAATAAACTTGACTTGACGTAAAGTACAGTAACACAGTATTTGTACCTAGTTACTTTACACCTCTGTAAAGAAGCATTGTAAATGTAAATAACATGAAATCAAGGTGAGTTTGTACTTTAGTCTGTGTTGAATTAGAATGGCGTGAGGTACACACTTCCTGTACGTCTCATAACGTCATATATGTAGACAAATTACCACAGATGGTGACATTTTTAATTGTCCTCAGAGTTTGTCTTCACTGAGCTTCAGCTGAAACATCCAGTCATGCATTGATTTCACTTACCAGTGATGTGATTTTGTATTTTAAATGTTGTTTTATTTTATTCACTTTTTTTCTCTAAAACCAATGTGTAGTTCAAAGAAATCAGCTTTGCCTACGAGGTGCTTACGAACCCTGAAAAGAAGGAGCTATATGACCGCTGTGGAGAACAAGGCTTGCGGGAAGGAGGTGGGGGTGGTCCTGGGATGGAGGACATCTTCTCCCACATCTTTGGTGGTGGACTCTTTGGCTTCATGGGAGGACAGGGAAGCCGCTCGAGGAACGGAGGGCGAAGGAGAGGGGAGGACATGGTCCATCCACTCAAGTAGGTTAAATGTCCTTAACAGTCATCCAGCTTTTCAACATATATTTATTAACAGTTTCTAAATATTTTTGTTTTTTTTCACAGAGTGTCACTTGAGGACCTGTACAACGGGAAAACTACTAAACTACAACTTAGCAAGAATGTACTGTGTAGTTCTTGTAACGGGTAAGTTATTGTAGTTCTTGCGGTCTGTCTTGTTTTACTGTTGGACTTGTTTTTCTTTAACAAAACATCCTCTCTGTGTGTATGAATGCAGACAGGGAGGTAAGACGGGTGCTGTCCAGAAATGCACAACATGTAGGGGGCGTGGCATGCGCATCATGATCAGACAGCTGGCCCCGGGGATGGTCCAACAGATGCAGTCTGTGTGTACCGACTGTAGTGGAGAAGGTAAAAACCACAGTGGCCTACCCACTGGTGTTCAGGTTTATCTGTACTTTACTCACAAAGCTCAACCAGAAGTACCCAAAGCATAATGTTTCTGTTGTGTATTTATCTTCTAACAGGGGAGGTTATCAGTGAGAAGGACCGTTGTAAAAAATGTGAAGGCAAAAAAGTCGTGAAGGATGTAAAGATTCTGGAGGTACACGTGGACAAAGGCATGAAGCACGGCCAGAAAATTACCTTTGGAGGAGAAGCCGACCAAGCACCTGGCGTTGAGCCTGGAGACATAGTTCTGGTCCTGCAGGAAAAGGAACATGAGGTACGTGAAGGAGTCTCTGAGCTCTGCAGCCTTTCAATCCAAGTCCTTCTTCCTTTTTTTTGTGACCTTTATCACTGTCTGGGATTAAAAAGAAAAGCTGATGTAGATTTTAGTTTACTTGTTGCTGCTATTTTATTGAAATGCTTTATTTTATTATCAAAGTTCTTAAATTCAGGCTAAGCTGCATGTGTGGAAGTTGAAGATCTGTTTGTGACTTATTTATTATGGGGTTCGGTGCAAAAGTGCATGTTCGCTTCCCCCAAAACATAAACAGTTCTTTTTTTAAACCTAATAAATTAAAATAATAATAATTAAATTATTTAATATAGTTGTCTTTTCTGTATGAGCATGTTATACATGCAAAAATGTGTTTTGGGGCCTTTTAATTTACATTGCATTAAAATGTTCACCACCCTAAAACATCAACAAGACAAATTGTCATTTACTAAAACTAAATACTGTTCAGTCATTAAATGAGCTTTTTATCATCCATTTTATTGATCGGGGATGCTGTCCTGTCTTTTTTCAGACATTCAGGCGTGAGGGGAATGATCTCTTCATGAACCATAAGATTGGGCTCGTGGAGGCTCTGTGTGGCTTCCAGTTCATGTTGAAACACTTAGATGGAAGACAGATTGTTGTGAAGTATCCTGCAGGAAAAGTCATTGAACCAGGTTAAAACCCGATTTATTTCATCTGCTTTTCAACTTTCTTGTTGTTTTTTTTTACAAAGTACCTGATCAAACATTTCAGAAATGTGTGATTGAACCTGACTTCTTGTAACCACACCACGTCTCTTGCAGGCTCAGTCAGAGTGGTGCGAGGAGAGGGCATGCCTCAGTACAGAAACCCTTTTGAGAAGGGAGATCTTTTTGTCAAGTTTGATGTCCAGTTTCCTGACAACAACTGGATCAGTCCAGAAAAACTTGTGGTATGACAAGTTATTTTTTAAATTAACCATATCGGTACCACTCACCAGACTTTGTGCTTTTTGTTTTTTATTTACTACAGAAACAGCTTTGACCCATAAAACCTTATTTGCACATATGTCCTTTAGCTGCATTTTAAACATTTCTTTGGACGAAGGTCCAAACGAGGCTCTGTAGGAGGAATGGTTTTGCCCCTAAATTTATCATTGAAGAGATTATGTACTTTTATATGTTTTTATTTAGTTAAGTATGCCCAGTATATATTTTTTTCTTTTTTGTTTTGAGGAAATCGAAGCTAAATCATGAGCGCAGTGTAAGATTTCCTTCCACCTGACTTCGTTTTGAACTCATTTGTGCACAAATCCTGTTTGGCAAAAATCACAGACTTATTTTGCACTTCAGCCTGTGCTCACTCTGGCTCATTTTATCAGCTCATATAATTTCTTATGCTAGTTGAAGCTGGCATTTTTGTACAACTTTGTGTGTCCTGTTGCGATCTGGATTAAATATTGTTCAACATGTTCCATGTAGGAGCTGGAGGACATGCTTCCCTCAAGGTCAGAACAACCGATGATCAGCGGCGACACCGAGGAGGTTGACCTGCAAGATTACGACGCCAGCCAGGGCTCATCATCAGGCGGCCGCCGGGAGGCGTACAACGACAGCTCAGACGATGAAAGTGGCCACCATGGACCGGGCGTACAGTGTGCCCACCAGTAATCTCTGTTTCTTCGACACACACACACACACAACCCCAGTCTCCTTGTGAATAAAACATATAAACTGCTGAATAGAGAAGCCTAAAACTGGCCACAAACAGAGCCAGTACTCATGGTTTACTCATGTACCTAAAATTGTTACAGGATATTTTTAATTTGAGCACAAAGATCATTGATCCTGTCAGAGGAACATTTATTAGAGCAGCCAGACTATTTCATCTCATTCTGATTGGATTCTCAAGACTTCAGGTGTACAGGAAGTGTTTAAAATGTATGAAAAAGCCCCAGTCACCCCATCCTTCCCTCGTCACCCGTTATAAATCCAGTCCTCTCATCCAGTGGGAACTTCAGGACAGAAAGATAAATGCTTCTTGATTGCTGAGTGTGACTTGCATTTTTTGTTTTTCATAGTATTTACATTAATTTAAAACTTACTAATGTGCATACAAAGCAGCTGGGCAATGTGACATACCGTAGTTTCTTTGTATCAGCCATGGACTCATCTATTCAGCACCACTTTGTTTCTGATTTTACACCTTTTTTGTTATACTTTATAGAATTTTACTTGTCTTTTTCTTTCTTTTACATTTTAATTCAAGAGGAAATTTTGTTGTGTATATTATGAAGTGGTTGGTAAGCTTCATCAGCCACTATATTCTGAGCTGCATTTTTTTTTTAAAAAAAGGAAGAAAAAAATCTTTAGTGAAAATAAAACAAGCATAAAACCAACTATAGTCCATGTGCATGTATAAAGCTTTGGTTCTTGCACTTCCTGAACATAAAGTAAAGCAACACTCTTAAGAAATGTCTAAAATTATTGTTGAATAAATTGTCGAAATAGCATGTTTTGTCTGTGGTGTCTTTTAATACAATTTATAATTTGTAAAGGTGATTGTTTTGGAAATTTTACCTTCTGGAAATCATCTAAACATGATATTGCAGTGGGTAATCCCCCCCCCCCCCCCCCCCCAAGTCTCACATTTGTAGTGACATTGTTTTAATATTGTGCAGTATCAAAATGGATATTGCATGATTATCATTATTAAAAGGTTCAGAACAAAATTTATTGCCACTTTTTTTGCTGTGGCACTAATCCATCTGCTTCTGTCAGCTACAATCTGAAAAGTGCAGCTGAAATCACAGCAGAATTGGTGCATTTAGCAGTTCTGCAGGATGGAAAAGGACTTGAGCAGAAGACGTGATCAAATCATTTCCTGTTGGTCACTATCAACAAAAACAAGACTGACCATCTGAAATTGTAAATGTTACAGCTGTTTGATGCACAAAAGTATTTCCCTGAGCCTGTAAATGTGGAAAAATAGATGGCAAAGATAGTCTAGCTACAGAAGTCTCATTAGCAATTAGTTTACATGTTATTTTGCTAACACTTCTGAAATAATGCTTGTAAGGCAAAAGTTATGGAATCAAAAAGCAGATTGTTTTAAACAGTTCTGAGGAGCAGAATTACTGAGGTTTGACTCTAGCATGAGTATCTGCAGTACTGATCCTTACCTCTGGAGGGCAGCAGTCCGCTAAAGCTGCATCTATCCTGCCGAGAAGGAAGTGAAGAAGCAGTCGTAGCGGAAGCAGGTGGCGGCGCGGTGGAGAAAGATCATTCATCTCACTTTTTTAGTGCAAACGATTCTACAAACCGTATAAAAGGAACCAACAGCATGGCGTTGAATCTAACCATTAACACAAACAACCCGCCTCTGGGTGAGTTTCACTTTCTTTATCTGAATAAATGACATCATGAAGACGAGCGTGAAGCATGCACGCGCCCCGGTGACAGCCCGACTGCTAGCATGGCTACGTGTCATCAAAACAAACAGGAAAATACTCCGGTCTTATGTTTAATTATGTTAAAGCTGTTTACTTCCTCGTTACATCATCTAATATAGCATCTATCATTATTTTCATTGTATAATTAGACTGGACCCAAACCAATAAAAGTAGAAGTTTTTCTAGTTATCTGAAACTGGTATTAAAACCGGTTCTTTTTGTACACGACGTAATTCCGAATAAATGGATTTTATTGCTTACTGTTTCTCTTCGGCGTGTGTAGTCGTGGCACCCACTAATCTCCACACGTATACAGTTTTCTAAGGTTTTCTTTTTAAAATGAAACCACGTTACATGTTATAACCTTTTTTTATTGTGGGATCCACATATAATCATACAGCTAATAGTCTTACTGAACTTGAAAATATCATGTGGCACAGACATTGAACCTGGTTAGCTTCTGGTTATTATATGCTCCATATAATAATATTTTATGTTTTTAAAAGTCGTGGAAGTCGGCGCCTTGCCACGTTTTATTTGGTTATATTCAATATTTCGGATGACATGCTTTCCATTTAATGCTGATCCAAAGTTTTGTACCTGAATAAGCTAGTTATTAGCCTGAATAGCAGCTCTCACAGCGCCCTCTTGTGTCCGTTGCGAGTACTGCAGGCTGATGCAAGCCTCTTAAAACGTGTAGATGGTGAATGTGCATAATTGGTACCCTGGTTTCGTTTCCAACTGCTCTCACACTGGTAATACCTTGTTTGGCAACCTCAAAACTTAGCCTCTGTAGAATTGCACATATTTAAAAGTAGAACACCAACCGTCTACTCCTGCAGAAGATATACTGACTGACTGATGAGATGAAAGGAAAGGCACAGTTGTGTGACCAAGATTGGAAACAAGGAGGAAACTGGTTTAAAGACAAATAAATGTTGTTTATCCCATAATAAACCTGTTAAATAAAATTTGATGAGGAGAATGAACCTCGATGTTTAATTTTTTCAGTTTGAGCCCAGGTTATACAAATCATCTGCAAAATAAATATGTCCTTATGCTACTCATTTCTGAATTTTTGCACTAATGTATAATCAACGTCATGTTCTGTGAAGATGTAAATAATAGAAAGACCTTCCTTGAACACTTGCAGGCGCACTTCTTGCTGCAGAGCACGTGAAGAACAGTGTGCAGGTGTCTGTGGAAGAAGGCAAAGACACAAAGCTTCACATCTCAGAGTAAGTGGTTTTCTTGTTTTGTTTGTTGTTGCTTGTGGTGTTTCAGAGTAGGGATGCAAGTTATCGATTAATGAATTAATCTTAAGTTGATTGATCTTATTGATGGACTAACGATTAATTGATAAGCAGCCATTTTCTTCAAAACCTGAGTTTTCTCTTGTATCATGAGGGTCTTTCATGAATAATGTGCTGACTTAAAAAATGAAGCAGATCATTTTATTTTAACAATTTATTTTGTCAGCTGAATTAAATACTGTCCGAGTAAACAAAAAAATGGGGATTTCTCACATATTGTTAAAGTTGGGCATTTGTATAAAATACAAGAAAACAGATATCCAGGCTGCTGGGGGACAGCAGTGGTGTAGTGGTAGAGCAGCCAAATTGGGACCAGAAAGTCACTGGTTTGACTCTCCGCCATGCCCAGATGTTGTGGTGTCCTTGAACAAGGCACCTAACCCCCAACTGCTCACGGACTCTCACATAGCTGCCTGCTGCTCCACTTGGTGTTTCTCATGTGTGATGGGTCAAATAAAATGAGCACCAATTTCATCCTTGCATGGGAACATGCATTGATGACAAATAAAGCACCTTTACCTGAATGGGGGAAAAACAGATTAAAATAATAGTTTTGTATCTAAAAATCATATTTTCATTTATTATTATAATTAAAATTAAAATATGGGGGGGTTAAGTTCCCTGGGGGGGATGACAGAAAATAATTGAGAACCACTGCCCTAATCTGCTCTCCAGAACTCAGAACTGATCTTTGGTTCTTTTGGCCCATTTAAGCGTGGTCCCCCAATCCCTTACCAAGTCAGACATTCGAGTGCTGCTTGCTCTTTTTTTTTTTTCATCCTGTAGATTCTTTGCTGCTTGACAAATAACTCAGTCAGGAAAGTTATTGGATGTTTTTTATTAGGGGTGCACCAAAAAATCGTTTTACATCAGAATCGTAATTCTCACAAAGATTCAGAATTGATTTAAAATGTACCAAAATTGATTTTTAAATATGAAAAAATAATAAAGAAAGAAAGAAAGAAAATCCAAAGGTTGTCAACCTCCATTTTGTAACCACTTGAGACGTCCTGACGTCACATGCAGCCAGTTCTGGAAGGTATGCATGTGCAGAAAGCGCCAAAACAAAGAGGAAACTACAAAACGGGAGGAAGGGGAGATTCAACTGACCCCGTCTTTATTGAGTGCAAGGATTTGGGCTCTTTTGTTTTCTGCTGAATGAGTCTGAATTTGACATGAGCTTCACTGTGTGCAAARTTTGCAAAAAGAAGATGAAGCACTTTAGAAACACGACAAATGGGCTCACATTGAGTTTTAAATGAAAAATAGATTTTGAATCGAATTGTGACCCCGAAAATCTGAATCGAATCATGAGATGGTAAAAAATTCCCACCCCTAGTTTTTATATTTACGGCTTGAGAGAAGGAGGAATCTAACGGTGGGTTGAGGTGTTTTTGTTTCCACAGGAACATGTTTCCTGCTGCTCACAACCCAACGCAACGCGATGCACAATAAATTGAACTGTTTTAGGAAAATAAAATGTGGCGTATACTAGGGCTGCCACGATAATCCATTAATCGACTACTAATCGATTATTAAAATAGTCGGTGGCTAATTTCATAATCGATTGATTCATTGTTTTCTCTTTTTTTTTTGTTCTTTACTTTGTTTTTCTCTCCAAACTGCTTTGACACCTTCCACTGCCACATCTGCCTTTCTGTCCTTGACACACATGCACAGTAGTGGTAACTGGGGTAGGCCGTGGACGTCACAAGACATTATACAGACAGGCTCTGGTATCATGGCTACCTGACAACGGAGCTCAAAAGTGTGGGATCATTTTAAGAAAATGAAAGAGAAACCTGTGYAATATCTGCAGAGCAGAACTTGCCTTCCACAGCAATTATTTTTAGTTAGCATACAGCTAAAATCTAATGATGGTTATACAATAGCAGCTGCATTCTGGCGTGATAAACTGTATGTTTTATATTCAATTAACATATGATCTGATTAGTCGACTAATCGAAAAAATAATCTGTGATTAATCAATTATAAAAATAATCGTTTCTAGCAGCCCTAGCGTATACTATTTATCATACTGTACCTCCAGTTCTACTTTGCCTAACAACACAATTTAAAAACTGGTTTAAAGTTTGAAGTTTCTACTTTTGACTCAAACTGAAACTGGATCTAACCACTTAGAGCGATTTCAATGGACGATGTCATGCTCCAGTGGATGTTATCTGTTAATCGATTGGAATGGATTTTAATCTAATAAACCATTATTTAACAATTAATTGTCAGTCGATTGATTTTTCTCATCCCTATTTCAGAGACATGCAGAAAGTCATGTTCTTTGTTTCCTTTCCTCAGTTCAGTCCAGTTCAACGATGCCAACTCCATCAGCCGCTACCTGGCCCGGGTTGCTCCTGCCCTCGGCCTGTATGGAGCCAACATGATGGAGCAGACTGAGGTGTGTACATTTCAGCATGTTTGACGATTTGTAATTAGTTTAAGTCCAGCGTTTTTTTTATTTTAAATGGCGTCTTCAGGTGGACCACTGGCTGGAGTTCAGCGCTCGGCGTCTCTGCGATCAGCCCAATCTGACAGGAGCACTGGGTGAGTTGGACCGGGCCCTGTCCCTGCGCACCTTCCTGGTTGGAMATGCCGTCACCCTGGCTGATCTGTCCGTCTGGGCTGCTCTCAAAAGTAAGTCACATCCAGTTTTCTCCTCTGTTTAAGTTTGTGTAGTTTGGCACGTAAGACTCGGCAYTTAAACTGTTCTTTTCTCCTCAGGTCACGGTGATT